GCAATCACATCGTAGGGGAATCCATCCTACAGAAATCAAAGCACAAGTATGTAAGGATTATAGGCACAAGGACAATTATTTCAGCAGTCTTGTAGTGGCAGAAAACTGGAAACAACCTAAATGTCCATTAAAAGGGGAATGGTTGACCATATTACGGTGGGGTCATTCTCTGGAAAGTTATTCGGCTATTAGAGAGAATAAAACAGAGCTCGGTCTCCTGTCCCAGAGAGATGGACATGATATATTAAATGACTTGCAAAGATACCTAATCAGACTTTGGTCAAAAAATGTGAAATCTCTGCCTCCCCTGTTTTCCCAGCTTCCTCATACTCTCTTTCCATTATCTATCTTTATACAGGTTTGTATGAGTACAGAGGGAAGCAGGGAGGTGAGCTCAAGCTTGTCTTTGTACTTACTTTGTATTGTACAACACTTGTTACAATAACATGGATTTTGCAACTAAAAAATCTAATAAAATTAAAACTCAGCAAAGATTTTCTTTAAAAAGACAGTATGTTCATCTAGATATGTCTCCTGAGGAAAGGGAAACAAAGCAAAAATGAACTCTTGGGACTTCATCAAAATAAAAAGCTTCTGCACAGCGAAGGAAACAGTCTACAAAGCTAAAAGGTAGCCTACGGAATGGGAGAAGATATTTGCAAATCACATATCTGATAAAGGGGTAGTATCCAAAATCTATAAAGACTTATCAAACTCACACGAAAAACAAATAATCCAATTAAAAAATGGGCAGAAGACATGAACATTTTTCCAAAGAAGACATCCTGATGGCCAACAGACACATAAGAAGATGCTCACTATCAATTATCATCAGGGAAATATAAATCAATACTACAATGAGCTATCACCTCACACCTGTCAGAATGGCTAAAATCCACAACACAAGAAACCAAAGGTGTTGGTGAGGATGTAGAGGAAGGGGAACCCTCTGGCACTGTTGGTGGGAATGCAAACTGGTACAGCCACTCTGGAAGAGTATGGGAGATTCCTCAGAAAGTTAGAAATAGAACTACCCTACTATCCAGCAATTGCACCACTAGGTATTTACTCAAAGAACACAAAAACACTAATTCAAAGGGATACATGCACTCCTATGTTTATAGCAGCATTTTTTACAATAGCCAAGGTATGGAAGTAACCCAAGTGTCCATCAATTGATGGATGGATGAAGATGTGGTGTGTGTGTGTGTATATAAAATGGAATATTATTCAGCCATAAAAGGATGAAATCTTGCCATTTGCAATGACAGGGATGGAGCTAGAGAGTATTACGCTGAGTGAAAGAAGCCAGTCAGAGAAAGACAAATACCATATCATTTCACCCATATGTGGAATTTAAGAAACAAGCAAATGAGCAAAGGGGGAAAAAGAGAGACAAACCAAGAAATACAGTGTTAACTCTAGAGAGCACACTGCTGGCTATCAGAGGGGAGGTGGGTGGGGGATGGGGGAAACAGGTGATGGGGATTAAGGACGGCACCTTGTCGTGTGATGAGCACGGGGTGAGGTATGGAAGTGTGGAATTACTGTATTGCACACCTGAAACTAGTATTACACTGTATGTTAACTAACTGGAATTTAAAAACTTTTTAAAAAAGAAGAAAAGATAGTATGTTCTAGGTAATGGGATTGAAAAAAGAAAGCATTTTACTTTCTTCTCAGTACCATTCTTAATTTTCCATATTCTCTCCAAACCGAATGTGCATTAAAAAAGTCTTCAAGACAACCAATAGATATGGAAACAGTTGATGCTTGAAATGAAAATTCCTGAACATAGAATCAATTCTATGGTAACAAGACAGATAAAAGATTTACATGTACGGACTAAGACCGGAAGATGAACAAAGATGAACTCCTTGAATAAAGCAAGTAGCATTGTGGGTGATCATTTTTCTATATTTTGTTACAAAAATATGTAATAAAAAAGACTTGCAAAGTTATCAGCTTTAAATATAAATAAATTTGCCCTTGAAAAGTTATTTTTCTGAAAAAAACTAAAGCATACTGTACTAGAAGAAACAGGGAAAAAAACTTTTTTTTTTTTTTTTTTTTTAAGATTTTGGAGGGGAGGGGGGGGGGGGAGGGGGGAGGCGCAGAGGGAGAGGGAGAGTCTTAAGCAGACTCTGCACTTAACACAAAGCCTGACGCGGGGCTCGATATCATGACCTGGAGATCACGACCTGAGCCGAAACCAAAAGTCAGACGCTTTAACCGACTGCACCACCCTGGCACCCCAAGAACTAAACACTTAAAAGTCTGTCACAACAACCACCTCAAGAGGGGACAAACAGAAGTTATTTAGGGGAAAACAGCAAATATTTAAGGGTAAAGGTAAAAACCTCACATTTTGCTAGTGAGCTAATGTCAGGCGGCTGCCTGGAATTGGACTAAGCCTTATTATTTTACGAAGATGGCAGGAGGGAAGTCTTCTCTGCCTTCCCTGAGTTCCCAGCCTGGGAGGCCTGGCGAGGATACTGCAGCCATTCTCTCCCACTTGCTCCATTTCTCTGGTGGGAGACCACGCGGTCTCAATAGCTCGGGGTGACTTTGAGTGACTGGCTGCATGAGTCAAGGCCTCGACTGGGGGGCAAGAGATTTGGCCTCTGGGCTTCCCAATTCAACTTTACTAGAAGTCTCACATTCAACTGGTGGTTTGTGTCTATTTCCCATGTGGTTAGAACCCAAAGAGGAGAATGGGTGTAATTAGAACCTCCAAAACCCCAACAGATGGCTCTGCAATACCTCTCCTTATCTCAAAGCAGCTCAGGCAAAAAGAAATGGCTTCTGAATTTAAAACCAAACACAGCCATTAAGGAAAAGCAGAAACTTGCCTCTCTTGGAAGGCAAAATAACATATTCTGTTTTCATCAATGCATTTGGAATATTTCTGTGGTAATTCACATCATGAAAGAGGAAATGCCATCTTAATTTCCCTAGCAGGTTTTCTGTAGCAAAGTTATCATAGTGGCTTTACCGTAGCAGCAGATCATAACGCCAAATCCTTTGTGTTCACCAACACCAGCAATAGAAGTAACACGAGCCCAAAGTAACAGGAAAAACCAAGTAAAAGAAAGTAATTCTTGACGTTGACCTCAAACTAAGAATTTCCCTCAGAAGTCACAAAAATGATTTTAAAGTCAGAGTTAGGTGCAGATGCTAGTGATATTTTCATTGATGCTAGAAATGCTGAACGGAAGGGGTCACATCACTTCCAGTTTATACTTTGTTGGGGATTTAAACCTCTTCATTTCCATGTGTGTGTTTATGTGTGTTTGTATGTGTATGCCTTTTCTATAGCCAACACTCCACTAGGATAACTTAAAATAGGAATTTATTTACAATAGCAAAGATGTCCAAAATAACGGAAACAATATATAACAAATCCAAGAATTATTTTATGAAAAAGGCAAACAATATATACACGAAAGATAAAACAAAATCCAAAAGGGCAAACTTAATTTTGACTTGATCTAAACAGCTGCAGAATGTGGCAAAATGGTTTTTCAGATATGAATTAGTAAGTAATGATGGGCCAATTAAACACTCTTTCCAGCTTCTCTCTTTTACTTGCTGAATCTTCCTCTGAATTCTATTAACCCTTGAGGAGTCTCACTTCGGGGAGGCCATACAAGATTTATGAAATACATGTGTACTAAAAAGGATACACTGTCTGGAGGGCTCACACTTTGGAAAAAGGTAAACCAAAGGTGTCAACTAAGTCCCATTTCACACTCACTGCTTATTGCTGGGGTGGTGTGAGAGAGAGAGAGATTTTCTTGTCTACTACACAAAATGTTGCACCAGTGATCTTTTCGGTTCCTCAGGTGCTCTGAAAGGGTTTCCCAAACTTGAGCATGCATCAGAATCACCTGGAGGACAGGTCAAGACACAGATCACCGGGTCTCGTGCTGTTTCCCGATTCGGTGGGTGTGACGTGCACCCACGAGATTTGATCTTTAACAAAGTTCCAGGTGGTTATGATGCTGCCACTGTTGCCAGACCACACTTTGAAAACCACTGCTCTAAAATATCACCCCTTTTAGATTTTGACCGGTCCCGCTTTTCCTTTATGAATCCTAGAACTGGTGGGCAACAAAATTGTTAATGCGGAGATTCCCAGAGAACAGAGCAGTACATTACCTGACTGCCTGGTCTCTGACCGGTAAGATGCTGTCTACCAGGCATTCTGGTACGACGAAGTGTTTCACACGCTACGGTTTTGTGCGGTTCGTGGCTCTGGACAGTGACACTCACCGTGTTCTCTTGACCACTGACCCCAAATTTTGACCCCTATTTACTGTTTCAACTATTAGGCAAACACTTGTTCCGACGCAGTTGAAGAGCTTGAAGGATCTCATCTTTAAAACTCAAAGATGGCTCAAATCAATCTGTTACTCTCTTTTGACTCCTGGTCACTTTCACCTAACTTCTGATTTTTCTAACGGTGGCCACTCTCCAGCATGTTAGCGACTACGAATGAAAGCCTGGCACAAAGGTGTCACTCTAGGGCAGGGCTTCTGCTGTGGAGGCGGGGACAACACCCAGTAATTAAGTGTGCTGTGCAGGGATACTGAAATGACCTTTAAGTGCTCTCATAAACCATTTATGCAGGGCAAATTCGTCTCAGGGGAACTGGAGAGGCTAATGAAACAAATCCCTTGTGAAGATAAAAGGAAAAAAAACGAACTTCAAGGACATGCTCATCAAAGGACTCACCAATCATCTCTTAAGTTCCCTGATATATTACTAGCAAGTTCGAGGGGCTGAACTATGAGGAGTATTTGCATCAAGTCACAAAATTCAAAGCAATCAAGCATTTTGCAATCCACTGCTGCATAAAAGGAATTAAGAAATGGGGAAATGAAAATAATCCACTGCTTTTGATGTTTATTAGGTTTACAAAAACTGTACATTTTTTTCCTTAAGAAAAAGCATTAACTTAGTACTGGTATCAAATAGACTAAACATCCATTAACAGGAAAATATTCTGATTTTTATTTTTGCACGTTATTCTCAAGTACACAATTACAATAATGTCACACATCCCTATATGATTTTCTTTTTATGTATTTTACTTTTTTTTTTTTACAAAGTGTACAGAGGGAGGGACATACAATATTTAATAGGATATTTCTACAGAACAATAACTTATATTATGTCCTTGTAAAAATCTGTACCTCTTTAAAACATTTAACTGAAACATCCATTTTTTTTAGCTTTGCTAATCAAAATTGTTTTAAGAATTAAAACTAGGTTGTAACTAATGTCAGTACATAACAGTGACTACAATTTCATTTTCTCTTTATACAGACAAATACATTTTATCATATTCACTTGACCAAACCCTTAAATACCTTTTAAAGGTTTCAATATTGTGCTTTAAAAAGAAAATAACTGTGTATGATTCCAGACTATGTAAGAGAAATATAAAGTGTGTAGAGTGTTGTGTTCTTTATCTTTCAGTTTATTTAAAAAAATATAGTTAAATGACCAATTATTTATATTTTCTGTACTAATTTTACAGCATGTTTTAAGGTTAATAAATTTCCACTTTCATTTAAGTGTCTTCTTTTACATGATTTCTGGGGAAAAAAATGAAGGAGATTTTTAAAGGTTCTCACAAAAAAACAGACAGAGCTTTCAAGGATAGTACTGCGGGGCAATGAATCACACAATTGTAAGTTACTTTAAAAAAAAAGCATGTATGTGAGCCAAGAGGGCACAGGAGCTCCCACTGGGATAGGCCCATGCCTTGGCTTTAACTGGCATTCAGGTTGGAGTTCATACCAGCCTAAAGCACTTGATTTACAACTGGACGAAATCAATCTAGCATTTCAGAGGCTTGCCAACCACCAAATATTTAGATTTCTAACCCTATAAATATAATTCTTGAATACAAATATCAATGGCAAAGGGAAAGATGAAAGGTCAAAACCTAACAGCACAAAGGGGATGGAGCACCATAATGAAGTGGCAAGGCAGCTATCCAGTGGGAAGAAAATTCCTAAATCTCCTACGACGTGCCAGATACTCATATGCTGACAGCCAATTTAAAGGACCCCAAAAACTGTTTTCCATTTTCCAAGATCCCTCTTAACATAATCAAATTCTAATTAACCGAGTTCATTTTATGCATTTCTGACTCTGATTCAGAACTGTTTGTTTAAAAAATGTCGGCTCTCAAAGACAGACAAAACTGTGAAAGACTTGGTGATGTTCCAAATAAGGCCTCAGATTTTCCTCATGCACTTAAACACACCTTTATCTTCTAACCAAAGCCAAGCTGAGCGTTCAGTTTTTTAATGTTTGCTAACTGTAACTAAGAAATAAAAGAGCAGGCTGGACCCGCCCAGTGTAAGTCATAATTAGCACCCAATCTCTGGGACATGGAGCTGTGGTTTCCTTAAGCCCCCTCACTGGGTGACGCAGAGTTCCCTCATGGGCTTCTCAGAGAGAACTGAGGGAGTTATGTCCGGATACTCATTAGCTTTTCAGAAAAATATAAAGGCATGGAGCTGAAGTTGTATGAAAACATTCTATCTAGAAACATCTTAACGTCTATTTTTTCAATTACCAAAGATATTTAAAAGAAAATACCTTTACTCTTTAAAAATACTAGTGTCCTTATTTTCCTTCTAATTCTTCACCTGAGTAGTCTCTCTGAAGAGCATGATTTACAAAATGCTCTCTCATGCATCCCTGCATCTTTCATGTTATTGTAAATTTAATACTTTTCATTATAGATCTTAACTACTACTGGGGTTGTGTGTATAAATATGTAAAATAAGCAATACACACAGATACATGTTCTCTATATATGTGCATATATATAATTCAGGGTACATTTACATATATAAAGTCGCAAAAGATCCTACGAGCCACGAATTACCTCTAGGAGATTCCAAAATGCAGTCCTCAATAATCGCATTTGTAGCACACAACCATTCCAAGACAAAGCAGCACAGACGGAATAATCAAAATACAACAGCATCAAGCAAAATTTGTCAAGGAAGTTTTCTAAAAGTTTGCTATGCTGACAAAAGATGTAAATACGCCAAAGAAAGCCCACAAAGAAGTATAGTTTGTCTGCTGAACAAAACGAAAAGTAAACACGAACCCAGCCACTGTTCTTTCCTCAGCGATGCCAGGGACGCAAAAGCTCAAATGGAAACCTTCATTGTCATGTGGTCTGAAAATAGTAAGCAAGACAAGTAAATGACTTCCATGTTAGGATAATTAGACCTGACTGTAAAATCTCCCATTTATGTTAGTAGATGTCTCTGACAATTTTATTGTGAGAATTTTATGGGAAAAAAAAAATGAGTCAACATGAATCTTTTCAGAGTTATCAATCTAAAGTTACCTTAACTTTAAGTTAAATGGTCTTAGAAGAGTACCATCAAGGTAAGCAAGGTAAATATTTAAATAAATATAAAACTTCTAAGATAGAAAAATTCAGTATAGAATCAGGGATTACTTTATTAAAAGCAACTTACTTGTTGCTGCTTTCCCCCATTTATTAAACAAACTGAATAGAATTCAGAACACACTATTAAACAAAATGTAAAAAAAAAACCCAACTCAACTAGAAGCAATAATTCTATTTGTACACAGCATAAATCAATATACAGTATTGTTATGTGAACGAGATGGATTGGCTTTAAAATGAAATTTCCGCTTCAAGGCCAACATCTCCACAAATGTCTGTAGCAGTATCGTCAGGGCAGGCCCACTTCTTTATGGTGTCGCATTATGTGCTGGTTCTTTTCGGAAGGTCTCCGGAAGCCTTTCTTGCAGTACTCGCACCGGTGAGGGTAGTCTTTCGTATGAATGGAGATAACGTGCCGTTTAAAGCCGGACGCATCTGTAGTGCTATACTCACAGTACTCACACTGATACACCTTCCTGCCACTGTGGGTCTTCATATGCTTTTTAAGCTCATTCTGTTGCCTAAATCCCTTTCTACATCTCTTACACCTAAACGGAAGATCTTTTGTGTGAACGGAGAGGATATGGCGACTCAGAACAAATGGATCTGCGATCTTAAAGTCACAATGTCGACACTGGTGCATTTTTTTACCCTTGTGGGCAGCCACGTGTTTCTTGAGTTCGGAAGGCCTGTGAAAGCCCTTCTCACACATGTCACACTTATGAGGGTAGTCCTTCGTGTGAACCGAAATTATGTGTCGTTTCAAATCGCTTGAGTTCGAGCTCTTGTGGTCGCAGTGCAAACACTGGTGTGTTTTGCTTTCTTGGTGGATAAGAGCATGTTGCTGCACCTCTTTGGTATCTGAGAAAGTCAGAAGACAGATGTCACACTTGAATGGCATCTCTTTACTATGCTTAGTTTTTACATGTGTTTTCAAGTTAGAAGAGTCTGCAGACCTATATTCGCAGTACTGGCACTGGTACGGCTTCTCCCCGGTATGGATGCGCATGTGCTTTTTGAGCTCTGACGGGTGACGAAAACCTTTCCCACACTCCACACAAATGTGAGGAAAGTTCTTGCTGTGGACCGCCAAAAGGTGGCGATTCAATAACCCTTGTTCAGCTGTCTCGTATTCACAGAATTTACACTTGTGCATTTTGTTGGCTCCTTTTTCCTTATGCACCATTTTGTGAGTAAACAAAGCCCCAGCATGAGAGAAATGCTTCCCACACTCGTCGCATTCGATGGCCTTCTCTGCCTTGCTGGTCAGCTTGTGGCTCTCCAGGTGGTTGTGTAAACTTATCTTCTTGTTGGTAGTGTAATCACAATCTGTACAGCGGTACTTCTTCTTGGTAAGGTGTTCAGGATGGTTTTTCATGTGCCTTTTCAAAAAACCTCTCGACTTAAATTTTTTCCCACAAATCATGCAAGGATAGACAGTCAAGGGATGTCCATCAGGGCCAATAATTATTGCTAGGAAAGGAAAAGAAAGGAGCATGAGTGATCAAACCAAGTTCCATTTTGGTTTCTGCAAGCATTTGAAGTGTGTGTTCTGAACATTATTAGGCAAGTATTCCCACGTTAAGCTATTTGCTACGTGACATTCCTTTTACCACTTTTCAGTATAAGAGATAGAGCAACCCTGTCATAAAAAGAACCCTGGTCTGAAAACTTCATTCAGTTTAAAAAATCAATCAATATGTAACTTCCACCAACTAGTGATCAAAGGTCTATCAGTTTAGAAATCGGTAGAAAATTCTTCATAAAAACAAAGTTTTGTAATCACAATTCCTGCTTTGGTTATTCTGAAAAACCTAATTTTGTGTCACTTTACAGTAAAGCTTAAATCCACCTACAAAAATTTTAATATGCAAATCACCATCCACGAATAGACAGGGACAGGGTCACGTAAACTGAAGTACTTGTCCTGCTGCTCTGGAAATTATGCCTGCCTTAAGGTAACATAATCTGATTCTTTGCATTAATTTAGTTTTTAAAACAGTTAATGCTTGTAATGTGTCTGAGGGATTTCTTTTCATTTCCACCTAAAAACCACCTGAGTTTTGAAATTTTTTTCCCCATCCACGTTTGATCCATTCCCTGTTTCTTTTTATCCCAGGAAATCATTCATGAATATCACTGAATTCTTAAAATTATATTTTCAAATTCCATACACAAAAGCTTACATGTGGTCTAGCAGCTAAAATGCCATCACAACACCTCCGTGGATACATACTAGAGTTCCATCTGAGAGCTTGCCAAGCACGCTGCGCTGTGGGACTCATGTGCCCTCACCTGTTTGGTACTGCCTGGAATCAGGTCTTCTCCTTTTCTTTGGTTTTTGTTTAGCCAGTCTGCCGAGCCCAGCAGACTCATCTATGTGCAAGAGGGCACTTGCAGTGCCATTCCGGGTTTCAATTCCATCAGAATTATTACCTAACAATGCGCATTAAAAAACAAAATTATACAGTATTATAAATTATAAAAAATTAGGGATTCTTTATTAACTATAACAACGAAAAGTAAGCCATGATACTCATGAATGACAGAAAGTCCCCATTCTAGGTAATGGGTTTTAGGACCACATTTATTATAGTGAGACGGTAGGAAATGCCTCGCTTCCAAATCTAAAAAACACATGTCAGCATTTTGCCCCTTGAACTCCCATGCTGTCTCCCCAAATTGTAAAGTCATGGGCCAGATACAATCAAGATGAAAAGTTTCAGCTTGAAAGCCTGCATACTTCTTGCGGTACTTCCTTCTACATAATAAACACATGAAGGAAATTCCTGTTATAAATAAAGACAAAAGGTAGACTTTATCATCTTCCTCTCTTCTTGTTCAAATCAAGTAACCCTTACAGGGTAGTGGTGTTTCCTATTTCGGAAACCTAAGGCCACAGACACCGTTTCCAGTCATGAATTCACGTGCGCGAGCCAACTCCGTTCGAAGAGCCGCCACGTGACTTACCGTAAGCTGCTGCCCATGCGATTGGCATGAAGGTTTTGATTTCATTGTCGTCGATCTGCTGATCGTGCGCCGCGGCGGCAGCCGCCGCCGCCGCCGCATCCTCCTCCCCTACGATCACCTCCATATAAACTTCATCAGCAATTTCCGCGACATCTAAGTAGGAAATTATATCAAATTTTGTGACCAGGTTTACAGAGATCACAGGAAAGACGTTTTTATTTGAATTCAGTTAGCAGACAAGTAGAAGGAAGGTTCAAGTGTTACACACCTATAACACAGCTTTCACAGAGTCCTAAGCAGGCAACGAATATTTGTTGAATGAATCATTCATTTCTTGGCTTTCATCTCAACTTGTTTTTAAAGCAACATTCTATGCATCCATAACAGGTTACCGAGACTGCCCTTGGAACATGGCAGCATAATAATCTCTACAATAATGCTACTTGTTTTCCTTCAAATACTGACCATAGTTAAAAAGAGAGCTACAGAAACACAAAACTTTCTCCCACAAAAAGGCCACCTACTTACTTAAATCTTCATCTTCTTGCTGAGAGTCGTTGACAGTCATATAAACCATCTTTTCCCTTGGCACACGAATACTGCTATTCTGATCAAGTAATTCAACTCCATGGTCATTCTCAGGCTCACTCTCCACAATGTCTACGGTGCCACCTATCAGGGAAGATGACAGCTCCGAGAATTTATCTGAAAACTTCATTTCCACCCATCTGACTTAACACATGTCATATATTTTTCTACTGCTACATGGAAATCCTTGTTTAAAAGTTATCTTCAGAAAAGATTTCAAAGGTCCGCAATCTAAACCACCCAAAAGAAATCAGGTTGAAGTGTCTCATCAGGATGCATGCTATGCCGAAGCTTTCCTCTTACCTAAGTCATCCTCTCCAGGGTCAGCTTTAAAAATGTACACCTTGATGACTTCAGGGCAAGTGCCATCCACCTTACAAGGATCGATTTCCGACTCTGCATCCATGGTCATTCCAGAGGAACCATCGTGTTCTATTTTGCCAGCATCATCCACTGAAAAGGCAGGAAATACATTACAAATAACACTAGCAGATACTTAAATAAAATGTTACTGTTTTGCAAAGTCCTTTGTACAAATATCATCCCTAACAGGATTCGAACAAAATAGGATGATTTTACCTAGACCCGTGGACACGCAGAGCATGGTGGGAAATGTGGCTGACTGCTAGGCCAAAGCAGGGGTCATGGAGGGCCTTGTGCAACCAGGCAGAGGGGTTCAGACTTGAAAATGGTAGGTCAGAGGTTTCTCAATCTGGTCAGGTGTCAATAGCTCTTAGGGAACTAAAGAACACAGGCCCCAGCCCAGCGGCACTACAGAATTAGAATCTGTAGGGGTGAAGCCAGATATGTGGAGCGATTTAGAGATTCCAGAGCAGTGAGAATGGCAGATCACTGTGTTCGCTAACACCAGGCCTAAGAGTCAAAACTGAACATGACAAAGGAGCCAGGGATAACTATGGGGTTTCTGATTTAGGTGACCGAGTGACTGGGGGAAGAAATATTAATCAGAGAAATGAGGAAAAGGCTCTCTCTTCCTGCATGGTCAATTAATTTAAGGTCTGAGAGGTAACATCCCTAAAAGCTCTCAGACCGGTGCCTGTCCCCATTCTTTTATATTCACAGCACCCTTTGCTTGTTTCTCTCCGAGTATACAATTCATTGTATTGTCACTATCAGGGACTTTCCCCCATCTTTCCCACTGATAGAGCAGAACCCGTCATTTTATTAGTCTTTTAAGACAAGAGTCTGGTGATGGTAGATGCTCAGAATATTGATGAGCCAATGACTCAATGAATGAGATGTAAGGACAGGTGCTGGATATTTGAGTCTAAAAGCTGAAGGCTGACACACAGATTTGGGAGCCAACAGCTCTGTGCTAACTAGCCCTGAGATCACACAGTGAGGACCTGCAGTGTGAGGTAAGAGTGTGCTATGGATATCTTGGGGAACATCACAGTTTAAGGGAGGGACAAGAAGAGTTCACAAAGGAACCCAAGAAGGGAAAGCTGGAGAGGCTGGTGGAGGATCGTGAAGGAAGCGAGGGAGTTATAAACTCTAAGAAGCCTGGTAAGGTCCACAGCAATAATTCAGCACACACCCTAGTCACGGGGGAATGTGTGTACGGACTATAATAACCTGGAAGTCACTGACGCTCCTGGTGAAAAGCAGTGTAGTAAAGGCTATATGGGGTCAGATTAAAGTGGGTTGAGGATTCAATGGAAGGTGTGCGTTTCTTCAAGAAGTCTAATTTTAAAATGGAGAACAAAGGGTCAGTAACTAGAATGGGATACAGGTCAAAGACTTTTCTGTTTAACTGATAAGAACACTCAAGCATATTCAGTCTGTGGGAGCAAATACAACAGACGGGAAGAAGCTGAAGCCAGAGGACACGGGAAAACTTCTGGATCAAGATCTCAGAGGAAAAGGGGAAGATGAAATTTAGAGGCAAAGATGAAGAAATTCTCCTTAGACAGCGGGAGCAATATGCAATCCTTCTGAGACTTGAAGTGGTAAACATGGATGCAAACAGAGCTACATTGTATTAAGGAGGAAGGCTGTAATGCTGGGAGCTGGAGAAGTTCGTGGCTGGTGGCTTCAACCGTGGGTATGAAACCAGAGGCAAGGGCTTTGGTTACCAGGGAGAAAATGGCAAACTGGGTGAAGAGCTTAAGAAGCTGGAGAAAATGAGCTGATCCAGGACAAGCTTCATGAGGGTCCAAAGAGACCAGGTGGTTAAACTCTTTGCGGTCTGAGAAAACAGAGAGGTTCCCTGAACTCCGCACATAACTACCTAAATTCAAGGATCTTGACTATGCTTTTTATAAAAATGATTTGTAAGGGGAAAGAATTGGCATTAGGTCCTTATTTCTGGCCTGATGTGTACTTAACCCTTTTCAAAGCTAATATTTTTATGACATACAAAGCTGACTGAGCCAAGGCTATTTTCTTAAAAATAGCTCTGCAATTTCCAAGTGAGGTAGCGATAACAAGAATGAAGAGCCCCCCAAACTAGCTGGAGAGACCTGACTAAACCTGCTACGTCTTCAGAACACTCATCTCTGAGCAGTTAGATCTTGTTGATGAAGCTTGCCCTTTTTTGGCAATGTTTGGCAAAACTGATTCTAACAGGTACTAGAAAATCAAATGTCCTCATGTTTACAAAGAACAAGGTCAGGCTAGCTGTTTTGGCATATTTTAGCTTGTTGGTACTCATAAGATAAAGCCTTTGATGACTGAAAAATCTAATCATTTTGGAGCTTGCAAAATGGCATGTATTTATCTATAATTTGGAGGAAAAGACCTTTCTGTTTGCTTTCATAAGTGTGTGGGGAAAACACATTTCAAATATACAGGCTCACCTGAGCCAAGCAAAGCTATTCTATTATTAGACAAAAGTAGAATTCACCTTGAGAATTTGCCCCACTAACTCAACTTATGAAATTACTCTGAATATGAAAAATTACAGAAGTGATTTAAAAAAAAAAAAAAACTTTGATGGTCCTGTTAAGGACTCAAAATTTCTCTGTGATTTTAAAGCTACCATAAAAATGAATTTCTAAAAACAAAGAAGGCTTGGATAAAACTGAGTAATCATACGTACGATTTCCGCCTAAATGCCTTCTTCTAATGTAGTGATGAAGAGCTAGAGCTCTGGAACAAGGCCTCTCCAAAATAGAAGAGCATAATTTCTGGAAATTAAGACTACTTCTAATAATAACTACCATTTGCATGGCATTTTGCTATTTCCTTATCATTTCTATGTACTTTAAATTTTATTTGATCCTTACCTTTTCCAGATAAAGAAATAAAGGCTCTGAGATGGTATGTGCCTTGCCCAAAGTCAGTGAACTAATGAGTGAGGGATGGGAGAGAGAAGAGGTACCTGTCTTTAGAACCCAGACCTTTATTTTCATCTTCTGATTTTTTAAGAAATGTATGTTTACTGTATAAAATTTAGAATTAAAAAAAAAATCACCAATAGTCCCACCAACCAGAGATTCCATCATTATGTTAGGAAATTTTCTTCCCAGTTTTTTCTATTTGTGTTAAAGTAAAATTGGCATCACAGTTTCCTCAAGCCTTACATAATAATAATCTTTGCAATTCATCCAGTATTTTATTTTTTTACCTTTTTTTTTTTCAAAGATTTTATTTATTTATTTGACAGTGAGAGAGAGAGAGTACAAGCAGGGGGAGAAGGAGAGGGAGAAGCAGGCTTCCCGCTGAGCAGAGAGCCCGGCATGGGGCTCGATCCCTGGGATCATGACCTGAGCTGAAGGCAGACGCTTTACCAAATGAGCCACCCAGGCGCCCCTCATCCAGTATTTTAAACTTCAAAACTGAGGAACATTTGACTTATATCGATGATCTCATTAGTAACAGCAAAACTATAGCAAAATATAGGCAATACCTTATACTACTTGAAGGGAGCTTCAGTAAACTCTCCTAAAGACTAAAAATTGAGGGATACTTATTTGCAATGTTATAGATACCACGGTGTCTAAAAATATAGTTAAGATCTCAAAAAAAACCCAGTAGTTTCTGGAAAAGAAAAATTACTGGGGTGTGGGTGGGAAATACACCACTTCAAGTAAATTGGTTTTGGGTTTTTTTTTTTAAGAGAGAGAGGAAGAGCATGCAAGCTCCTGCAGGGAGGGGCAGAGGGGGAGGGAAAGAGAGAATCTTAAATAGGCTCCACACCCAGCGTGGAGCCCAACGCAATGCCCAACACAGGGCTCCATCTCACAACCCTGAGAGCAGGAACTGAGCCAAAATCAAGAGTCAGTCGCCTGGGTGGCTCAGTTGGTTAAGCGACTGCCTTCGGCTCAGGTCATGATCCTGGAGTCCCGGGATCGAGTCCCGCATCGGGCTCCCTGCTCGGCAGGGAGTCTGCTTCTCCCTCTGACCCTCCCCCCTCTCATGTGCTCTCTATCTCTCATTCTCTCTCTCTCAAATAAATAAAATCTTTAAAAAAAAAAAAGAGTCAGTCGCCTAAATGACTGACCACCCAGGCACCCGTTTTTTTCTTTACGTAGGCTCCACGCACAGCGTGGAGCCCAACGCAGGGCTTGAACTCACAACCCTGACATCAAGACCTGAGCTGAAATCAAGCGTTGGATGCTTAACTGAGCCACCCAGGTGCCCCTCAAGTAAACTGTTAAACGAATGCTGATCTAATTAAAAGATCAGTAAAACTAAGTTGATGGAGAATCTATATAACAAGGATGGTGGTCATGATGGATAATGGTAACATTTACTGACCACATACCTCATGCCAAGCATGATAAGCCCTTAAAATGTAACCTCACAAAAACCTTATGACATAGGTAATATTGTTTTGTTATTCTCAATTAAGTTTCTAGACAAATTTTTATAATTTTTACCAAGACAAAAAAATATGATATTGGATTGCAGTGGAATCGCATTTTGTACAAATTAACATCATAGGGGCGCCTGGGTGGTTCAGTCGTTAGGCGTCTGCCTTCGGCTCAGGTCATGATCCCAGGGTCCTGGGATCAAGCCCCACATCAGGCTCCCTGCTCCGCAGGAACCCTGCTTCTCCCTCTCACACTCTCCCCCTGCTTGTGTTCCTTCTCTCGCTGTGTCTCTAGTCTGCGTCTCTTGCTGTGTCTCTGTCAAATAAATAAAATAAATAAAATCTTTAAAAAAAACAAAAACAAAAACAAATTAACATCATAGAAAGAAAAGATCTGTACCATTTGATCTCTCTCTTCCTACGTTTCCTACCAAATACCCCTAGACGTCAGCTTTCCTAAAACAAAGACCCAGTTGCCTTACTCTCTGGCTCAGAATGGTACCCCATTTCCTATCAAATAAAATACAAACTGCACAGTCTAGCAACCGACCTCTGACCAAAGTGCCTTCTGCCTTCAATCTTCTCTCCCCTATCAGGCCCTAGACTACCCTGTGTGCCCTGAACTTAAACAATACATTTTTATTTCTATTCCCTTATACTTCTTGTACTTGTATAT